ATGGCTCTATCGAACACCAAAGTATTATCGATTCTAATCTAAGTGATATGGTTGTGTTTAATTTCATGGATAAAATCACGGTCGGTGGTCGAATCGGTGATGTTACTGTCAACTTCTGTACTCTACCTATTAGTGATCAACCAGAAATCAAACTTTATGTTCTTCAACCGAGACCCGATGATCCACGGGCATTTACCGTTATTGAATGGCTCGACAGAGATCATTATGTTGTTCCAGTAGAAAACTTAAATCGAATTCGAGATTATTCGCCAGTCGGGAAACAAAATGGTGTGCATACAATCGCTACGAACACAGATATACCAGTATTGGCAGGTCAGTATTTGGCCATTAGTTTTGGTTTCGGTGCCGGCAGTCCGTATAGTGTCGAACGAAATGAATATTCAGTGAATATCAAACATTTTCAGACGGCATTGAAACAGAAGAAATCGGTATTGTTTACCAATTATCCAAATAAAGGAGCAGCGTTCAGTTTTAATGTGGTACAAACAGACAGTAAGTAATTGATTTTAGTAGGAGAATGAAAATCTGAGAACCACGACACACGCGGGCAATTTGAGTTGGAGTTCGTTTAGAAATGAAACGGTCTTAGGAGTAAGTTCTTAAAAGTGTTACGACGTTAGGAGTGAAAGCTTTCAGAATCCGCTAGTCTTCACATATGTTGCGGAGCTCGACGAACTGAGTATACAAGGAAAATATGAGCTCTTGATTCCATATATTTCTGGCACTTCTGAATGTCCTGTGCTTTAAGCAGAATTCAGTTATGCATTTATTTTACATATATACTTTCTGCAGAAATATCTTATGAAAAGATTGCGAACGACTTTTCAATTTTGTTCGATGATAGGTGATGGAATTTTGATCTTGTGTCTAGTCAAAGTACAGGAAATATCAAGCATCAAACGCTCATATTTTCCTTGTATACTCCGTCCGTCAAGCTCTACAACATATGCAAAAAGCCAGCGAGTTTTTGAGAGCTTTTACTTACGAGGTCATAACACTTTTTAAAAAACCTTATTCTTAAGCTGCCCCTTAGGATGTCGTCAACAGATTTACATAAAGTTTATGAACCTGTATAAACGTTATTTCAGCTTATGGCAATCAGATTCCGCCTGAGGCTGTTCGAAATAGTAATGCAAACATGATGGAACTGACGGTTCAGTATCCGGGTAGTGAAAGTGTCAAATCATCTGATAGACATAGTCGACAGAGAAGAAGCAGCGGATCTTTTGGTGAGTTTAGATCGTACCACTTCAGACAAAGTGTCCCTCAAGCTCTTTTTTTCTTATAGAAATGACCAACAAGTTTCAAGAACGTGACAATGTGCTACGTGAATCGTCAATTGCCGAAGATTACTGGAAACAGATTATTGAATCGATCAAGAAAGGTGAACAAAATGAACAACGTGAAGATACGTGAAAGAAGATTATTTGTTTGATCAAAGAGGAAGAAGACAAGAAAGAACACGAAAAGCTAACAGATACCAACAATGATATCAACCAGTGAAACTGTGAAATATGCAATAAACGAGAAGAGTGCTCGTCATGCAAAAGACACTGCAGGTGCAACAGCTGCTGATTCTGCTAAGTTTCACTAATAAAAAACCGAACAGAATGTCTAGAAGGAATTGTCTTCGTATTTCATCCAGTGTGTAATTGTCACACTGAATTGAAACTTAGTGTCAAGGGAACGCGTGAAGCGCTGTGATTCAAGTATTTATGTCTAAAAGAAATAATCTTAAATAACTAAGCTAGTAGAAAATTTAAAGGATAACCATATGGTTTCATGTAGGAGAAATTGAACCATGAGTAAATTGAATTTGTCTTGTTTTATTAGGCTGCTGATAAATCCAATAAGTTAATTTCTTTTTCTTTAAATTGAAAAATTTTTGATAATATTCCATTACTTTTTCATTTATTGATTTGTGATACTGGTCCACATGTTCCCTAGATAAATGTCTCCCGGATCTTTGCTCCCCGAACTTTGCTCTCCTCGGACGAAAGCTTTTCGGACATTTGCTGGTCTAGGACAAATGCTCTTCTAGGATTTTTGCTCTTGTAGACGTTTTGCTTTTCGAAATATGAACGAGTAGAAATTATTTAACAATACTTTTTATTTTCTTTCCTTTCCATTTTTATAAACAAATTCTTGTATGGCGAAGAAGACATGTCATAATTTATAGTTATTGACCAAAACTGTTATAAGATGTATAATATAGTGAAGAGAAACTGTTAAACTAGTTCGACGCGCTGTACAAGAACAGAGAAAGGAAGCCAATAATGTGACTAAAAATCAGTTGATGTATGTTTTTACTTGTGTTATCAATCTTCGTTTTTGCAAGTGTGTCTGCATGTTGAATATGTGGGTATATGAGCATTATCAATCTTTTTTTTTGTGATGTGTAAGTTATATAAATATTATTTTTGCTACTGGCTGCTTAAGAAAATAAAGACTATTGTTAAGTACTTTCGTACATATTTTGAAAAACAAAACTCCTAAAAGAGTAAATCTTCGAAGAGCTTTTGTTCTAGGGATGCGAAAGTCTGGGGAGCTTTTTTCCGGGTAGCGGATGCCCGAGGAGCAGATATCCGGGAGGCGTTTATCTAGAGAGCATGCGACCGGCATTCATAATTTGTTTGACACACATATTCTATAATAATAAAAAACTTTAATTTTGAATATATAATGACTAGACAACGATTTTAATATAAATTCATCAATCGAACTATTTATTGTACTTTTCGATATACACAGCTTAATTCGTGAAATAGTCATCATAACAAGGCTTTTAGTACGCATTTAAAAGTTTTCGAGAATCTTCGACAAAGCCCAGATCAATATGGGTTTTGCAGTAGACCTCGTGGACTATCCGCTGATGTTCTTAGCGCAATATCGACTATTTACAAAAGTTTTGTATATGTAACACAGCGGAGTTTAAGAGATATTAAATATACTTTAGTCAAAGGTGGATCAGTTTACCTGCCACTGGTATAAATAGCAGTGTGACTATTGAGAACTTGATCTAAGAGTTAAGTTTAAGTTAAGCTATACTGATTTTATTTATTCAGAACAACTTTTTTATGAAAAATAAAACTTAACATTTTACAAGAATTCACATCAATAATGAGTGTTCTTAGTATGTACAAAGAAAATGTTTATTTACAGATCTGGTCACAGTTTATTTTTCCAGAGGAATGTTTAATTATATATACTCTTATGTCGTTAATGTCTATGATTTGGATAGTAACCAGGACCTGCAGCTATTCGACCATCACGGTTCAGATCAATGTGGGTGGCTTTTTCCAGTTTACCAACCAATCCTAACAACAAAAAACCAAATTATGTTGTGGCACTTTCATTGTGCGAGATGTTAGAAACATTACCTCCACTAGGTGATGGTCTATATCCACCTATAAAATCCCATCGTGGTTCAAATCGACATGGGTTGCCTGTTTTAACTTGGCGGTTGTACCTTTGAATGAAACACAAAGTATTCTTCACTGATAAATAAAATGATAACGACAGAAATGTTTGCAAACTAAAGGTTCAGTTACATACCTGGACCATCAATGCGACCATCACCATTTAAATCTACTCCCAACTTTTCTTCGACCTTTCTGTTAATGTAATCTAAAAATATATTGAAAACTAAGACTAGCATTTATGCACAATACACAAATATCACAAATGGAAAGAAGCACTTTGAACGAGAGTGCAAATCATTTTCATTGTTCTATCGTCTTCCTTTTTTGACATAATTGTACCGCAAAAGTCGAGTTTGTTGTTCGAAAGAATATTGATAGAAACTGTAGACGAATTAGTTGCTATTTCTGTCATCCGCTTATCATATGATCGACAATTGTTATCGATAAAAAAAGTATGTTAGAGAAAGATCTGACAGACCAAGGACGAACTATTAATTACACCAAGCACGATGTAGTAACAATTTTTTATCTCAAAACAACTGCGGCCTATCTCTTCTTGTTCTTTTTGTGTAGTTCTCATGTTCACCTTTTCTGCTCTTCGTATAAGGTGATACCTTTGAATTTATTTACTCTAGACTCATGCATAGTGAGCACACGCTCTTAACTGGTCCACAAAACATAGTAGCACTAAAGAAGTATGCACAAGATCACACATTGTAGTGAAGGAGGAATTACATATGTTGAAAAGTATAGGCTGAATTCCAGATATAAGAATACATTGTGTTTTACCTATCAGATTGTTGCTTTGTTTTCAGCAGTGTAAAAAATGAATGTTTAATATAAGGTATTCTGCTCCGAGTTTCCTTTTTTTTCCTTTTTGTTTACTTGAAACGAAACTTTGCAATCAAATAAGAACTTTTGATGAAAAAAGTTTGATTAAGAATTTTTTTCAAGAGGTTGCTTCTACAACGAGCGACAAAAAAAGTGATAAATTTAAATACACAGTTTGGTCAAGTCCGTACGCCTAATTGAAAATCTCGATAAAATTGTTTTACTGACATGATAAGAGTCGGAACAAGTTAAAAAACAACTAGTCGAAATTATTTCGAAAACCGTGCTGTATGTTTATGTTTCTTTATTTTTATTTCTATAAAAAATGTAGGATTAAAAGTGAATCATAAGTTAAATTTAACTGCTAATAGAAAGAGTGTAAGACACTGAGAATTTGAGAGCGCACACTTACTCGTGTTTTGTCGAACTGATCAAAATTGATAGACAACAAATGATTATATTATCAATTATTGTATACGGCAAATGATGTAATAATGATCGTTCTTGTAATTTCGTACTATTAGTATGTGTATGAATAATGATATGCGACATGAGAAACAAAAAGGTATGGAAGCATCCAGTGAAAAGACAATGGGTGAAAAAAAAGCTTTTAGCCATTTAGCTGTATTATAATATTTTCTTTCTCTTTCTTTCTTTTTCTCTCAGTAAATATTTACACTAGTGTACGCAAATTAAACGTTTACACTTTAGTTAATAAGTCGTAATACTTTTTGATCCAATTAAATACGATCAATACCTACCATAGTTCTTTTACTGTATCTTACTCATTATACATGTTTATTCGAACGATCTTACCAGTCCAGTACAGATTAATTGCAACAGGCCATATGTTTAAGATCTGTACTAAAAAATGCAAGACGCCAGATTTAAAATGAACACATCTATACCAGCTTCTATCCATATTAGGTTCATAGTTGTATAGAAGAGCTACTTAGTGTTGTCTCGTTCACGTTTGAAATCATTTTCTTTGAAATGAAATGCTAGCATTTTACTTTCCACTCTCCACTGTAACTCTCCAATGCATATTGTCTCGACGAGATAAATACTGATGAACGATGACTGATACCAAAGGAAGGAGAAGAGGAGCAACAAGAAGGAATGTTAGAGAGAGAGGACAATGGAGATAAGAATCGCACCCTTGTCGATCAAGACAGGAAGATGAAAAAGTCTCAATTCCTCAAGGCGTGTGCCGAAGCTCAGGCCATTTTCTATCGAGCCGGTATTAATGACGAATCGAAGGTCGATTTGAGTAAAACATTCATGCGCGATCGTCATTTCAACCGATTATTTGTTTAATCCGAAGAAGCACAAACGGTGTTATACTTGTGCTTCGATGTTCGCATTATCTCCTCCAGATACTATCGCGATTTCATCACGACTATGGGACCATCGGATAGTTTGAATATCAATAGTTCTGTATGGTCGCAAAAGTCAAGCACTAGAACTATTTACTACACTGTTGTAGATGGCTCATCCAATAGGAAAAGGCTCTACAATGGTAGTACCATAGATATAACCGGTCAAGATTTTCTCGGCCGGGCCGGGCCGACCGGTCATATAGTTTCTTTTAGTTAGTCAAAACTATTTTTGACACCAAACTAATTGTTACTGTCAGCTGTTTAAGAGCAGATACACATTAAGTGAAAATTAATTGCTGTGTTCTCTCTCCAACTAGGTTTTTTTGCTTTTTATATTCTTCAATTCCTTTTGTTTGTTCTGTCTTGCTTTAAATTTTTTCTTGTCTTTGTCTGTGTGTGAGAAAGTGAGTTGGCGCGAGTGTGTGAATGCAAAAACCTAACGGTGCAGGAGTGCTAAGGCTTCAGGGAAAACGTCCATTGCTCTCGAACCATGGATTTCCCAGATGTGATTTAGATTCAGTTTTTTGAAGTCGAGGATACTTCAGATTATATACCTATGAAAAAAATTCATAGATTTTTACATCTGCTTTCGGAGAACCGAACTAGTTTTCCACAGATCTTCTGAAAAACGGGCCTTTGAAATTTTTTCTAAATTTGGTTTTCTTATGAAAGCATAGCTTCGGGTCTTGGCTAGCGATTAATGAAAACCGCAAATCTCTATCTTTTATTCCTTTTGAGTTATTCAAAAACTAACGACCGGCCTCGTATTTTAGCGCCCATAATA